ACCCTAAAATTTGAATTTCTAGAAATGGACCTAAAAAGATTTAATTTGGAATTTTTGTGCACATGAAATATAGGAAAATAAAATTTCTCATTAAATTAAAATTCATCATAAGGTAGCAACATGTTTGAGCATACATGCCATTGCATTTGATTTATTTGGTTGAGTGGTTTTGATTGAAAATTCAAAATGGTTAAAATTGCTTTTGCAAATGAAATTAAAAATGGCTTTGAAATAAAAGAAAAGAAAATTAGAAAATGAAAGAATTTAAAAAGTTATTCTCAGAAAACTTACCCAAAATTTGTTCATTTATGTTTGAATTAAAAACTGTATTTTAAATCATATTTAAACTCGATTCAGTTCATATTTGAATTTGTTTTGAATTAAGAAAAGAAAAAGGATTTGGAAAAATAAAAAGAAGAAAGATCTCCTCTCTCATTTCAGCCCGAAGGCCCATGCTTCCTTTCCCCTGGCCCGCTCTGCGCCCTTCCTCCCTCCCTCCTTCTCCGCACGGCCTGCTCCGCACGCGGCCCATCCCGCTCACGGCCCGCTGCTCGCGCCTTTCCTCCGCACCGCTCGCGCGCCTACTGCATCGCCCGCATGGCCCAGCTCGGCACCCTACCCCGCATTGGCCTACCCCGCAGCGCCTCGGCCTGCTTCGGCCTTCACCACACGCTGCTCGGCCTTTCTCGCATGCGCTCCGCTGCCTTTCCTCTCGCTGCGACGTGCGACCCGCTCGTCAGCGCCCCTTTCCTTTCTTCCCCGCGCTTCCCCTTTCCTTTCTCGCCGCCGCTGATGGCGTTGCCATGCTCGGCAAGCCGCCGCGCCCGTGCCTGTATGGTAGGCATCCAAATCGCCCAAGCGCCCCACTTCCCTTCCATCTACCGCAGCACCGCCGGCCTATAAAGCCCCGAACCGAGCACCTCCCTCTCCTTTTTCCCATCCGCGCTCAAGCTCGCCACCGCCACCGCAATTCACTGCTCCAGTGCCACAAACGTCGACACCGACGTGCCCGTGAGCTTCACCGTGATCTGAGGCAGCCGTAGGTACCATCGATTCATCATTTTGGTTACGAATTTCTTGGATTCACCCTCACCGCGCTGTGGTTTCTCCCTCCAGCCGCCGCCATCAACGACCCGCCCCTTCGGAACCTTCTTGGATGCCGCAATCCATTCCTTCGACCTCGCGGTGAGCTTCTCGTTCTTCCCATGCTTTCTGTTTGTCAAATAGCACACTGGAACGTCCTATCATAGCACACCATTCGCCGCCAGCCATGGTGCCGCCGTGGGATGTCTCTCCGGTGCGTTCCTCGCCCTAGGATGGCACCCAGTTGAGTTCACGAGCGCTAGTAGATCGATTCGGTGTGCTCGGTTTGACCCGGGGAGGTCCAGAATACCGTACCGGTGTTCATCGCCATGTTGCCTCACCGCCGGCCATGGCGGGCTCACCGGAGGTGTTGTGCAGCTGCCGGAGGTCGACCCGTACATGCTTGCGCCATCGGATTCGTCTGGACGGCCGAGATTAAAATGTAACGGTTTGGATGTGTAATCGGTCCACCATGGACCCATGGACCCAGCCCACGGTGCCATATCAACGCACGCCCACGCCACGTGGTGCACCGCGCCAACCAGAGGCTACCGCATGGCGCCCGGTCAGCCACGACGGGTCAGCCCTTGGTCAACTGTGCGCCTTTTTCCATCAAACTTGTTTAGGCCATAACTTTATCATTTTAACTCTAATTTGACCCGTTCAGATTGCGTTAGGACCGTATTTACGTTTTCTACGTGTTTATACTACTGTTAGGCATGTTTTCAATATTTAAAATTCAAGGGTAGATTTAATCTATTATTTAACTAAAGGAAAACTTGTTTAAATCATGACTTATTCATTTTAACTCCGGAATAGTCCGTTCAAGTTGCGTTGGATTCATAACGACGTGACCTACGCATTAGTATCAATGTTTTCTATGTCAAAATCTCTAGAATTTCATGATTTAAATCCCAACATATATAATAATTATGTCACTAGATTTATAAATATAATATAATAAATTCCACTTTGATTTTTAAAACCAAATATAAGTTTGACTTAATTCAACTTAAGTATTTTCTCTAAAATATCATATACATGCTTTTATATAATAAAATAAATAAAGCTTATGGTTTTCCATTTTATAAGGAAAATCTTTCGGTAGATGTATCTTTTCAACCGTAGCTCCGATTAGCGTGCTTCCCGCGTCTGTGTGTTCGTAGCAATACGTAGATCTGTTTCAAATCCTTTTCCCACTAGTTGGTGTATTGTTCTAATATGGCTATGTATGTATGTTATGCATGTCTATTTGGATGCTTGTATGGTGTTCTATGATCAAGTCTAGTCGGTGATCTATACGTGGTGAGTCCAGAAGCAGTTCTTGGAAGATTTGGACCAGAAGAAGATCTGATCTGAGTTTAAGGCAAGTATAGCATGGGACCATCCTTGATACCTATTCACCTTTAATCATTTAATTCATGTTGCATGTGTCCACCTTGGCAACTATAGTAATTTCCCTATCTAATTGATATCTTGGATTCCTTGATACCTTTGAGTTATTGCATTGGATAGTTTTGCTAGTGCTCAACTAAAACCATGATCTTGTAACTTGACTAATGGTATATGCAATAAACATTAAAACATGACTTTTTAGCAATATGGAAATAGGGGACTGGAGTGTTTAGCTACTTTTTAAATACTCTAGATTCCTCTCCCTAAGGACTTATCTGTAAGTGCTCATCTAGGACTTTACAGTACAACTATGAGGGCTATATGGCTCTGGCTTTAGCTCAGTTTAAGGACCTTTTATAGCTTATTAGTGGTTACCTTTATGGCGTAAGAGGGGCTCCGATAGGTATGATCTCAGCCTGCCAAGATGGTGCACTTTGTTAGTCACTCCTTGGAGGGGGGTTTATAATTATTGATGGGGAAACCTTAGCGGCCCTAACTTGTTAGACGAACCTTTGAAAGGCTTCATAGTGAACCCTGCCGACCTTCCTTGGTAGTGGGTCAAGAGGCTGATCACCTCGGGCGAAAGGGTAAATCACGACTCACAGTGAAAGTGTACAACATCTGCAAAGTGTAAAACTGGTATATTAGCTGTGCTCACGCACACGAGTAGCCTTGGAACCCTTATGGAATAGAGATGATCACTAATGGTTAATTGTTTATGCTATTCATTATTCATGTTTATCTGATCATGTGTTTATTGGCTTATGATATATTCATTGCTACTCAATTGCTTAAAAAGATGACTTATTAAAAGCTAATCGTAGTAAACTAGTGTCAACCTTTTGAGCCTCATAAACCCCATGTTATATTGCTGAGTACGATATGTACTTACGCTTGCTTTATTTTTCTATACTTTGGATAAGAATCCTGGATGGGTACTAGATTGCTAGTCTGGAGGAGTTAGACTTGTGGTCAACCAGTCAGTCGTCCCTGTGGATTTGGAGTTTTTGCCTAAAGATCGGAGTTGTCTTTCCGCTATCTATACTCTAAGGTTATATTCGTTATACTAATACGTTATGTAATAAGTATTGTCTTTTGGTATTACCCTTATTTGTGGCTATATGTGAGATTTGACTTTCTGGGCTCACATATAGTGTGTTTCTGGTTTTGTCTTTAAAACCGAGTGCTACAGACGGCGATCGGCGCGATAGATTGGATTCTGAGTCTATTACCACAAATCAATTCTATCCTACCATAGCTGTGATGGCGACAGATATCCTTGATACGTCGTGATCTCCAAGTTGGTAGTTGTGCCTAGTCCTCGCCGGCTTCCTCCTCGGTCGTCCTCCATTGATGGTCCAGATATATGGTCGGTGAGGGTACCCCGGGCCCATATCTCTGACAGCTTGCAACTTGTTTCTGAAATACTTGCAAGATATGCAATATGTGCAACATCCTCCAATCTACTTTTGCAACACCCATAAGAAACAACTGCAACATACCTTGAAACGACTGAAACACCTAGAACATACATTTGCAACATAGGGGAGGGGAAGCCTAGGCCGATCGATTCCAGCCGTCGGGGTTGGGAGCCGGCGGCAAGCAGCGGCGCACGAGCACCACCGCCACCAGTACTAGGCTTGGCTCGGTGGCGACAGTGGGGGATGGGGGTGAGGAGCGCCATGGCCGCCAGGGTGGGGGGCTCGGTTGCCGAGGTGAGAGAGGGCGTCGCCGGGGTGGGGAGGGCGCCGCATCGGGGTGGAGGAGAGCCGCCCACTCCCTTGCAACACCGTCGAGCCACCTCCATGGATCTAACGGGAGGCGAGTGGATCTCCCTCGTGCTTCGTGGATCTCGCGCGGGGTGGGGGAGAGGGCCACCAGATTTATGGGCGTTGGGGGCTCCTAGTGGGGGAGGACACTGGGCGTTGGTGCGCTGCGGCAGGGGAAGAGGAGCGCGGAAGGGGTAAGGGCGAGAGTGGAGCGGAGCGAAGCTAGACGTGCGGAAGTTGATTTTGTTTTTTAGGCGAGCGGCGCATGCGGTAGTGAGTGAAGCGAGGCGTCCGGCCTTCCGGATGTCTTAATAGTAGCATTAGCGATCATAAAACGGACCTTGTCTCGTGTGCCTCTTGGGCTGAGATGACGAAGGGTCAACTCATTTCATCCCCAGGAATCAAACAAATTAAATTAGGTTGGGAGCTAGTAGAATTTGAATGATCCATCACTTATCACTATCTCACTCTTCAAACCAAACCAAACACAAGGCGCACAGTTGCCAATGCGGCAGCGACACCTAAACAACCTACGATCCATCTATCTACCTATTTTCATATTCAGGTGATCGATCGAGGGAGCTACATACTGGACATATTTCTATCCATGCTGTTCGCACCCCACATCCTGAAACTAATTAACCATGGCGTGTCAATCGTTTGCTAACTAAATCAACCGACAAGACACCACCATTGGATGTATAGTATGTACAAAATTCACGTGCGGCACCCCGTTACATTTCTTTCTCAGTTTCATTTCAGGAGCATGTAATCTCCAGCACTATTATTGTCGTCATATTCTGCGTCGTCACCGCCGGCGCTGGTTGGGCTGCAGAGCATGCCGCCGTGGCGCGGGAAGTGGACGAGGGCCAGCGGGAGCGTGCACACGAGGCTGGCGGCGCCGGTCAGGGAGATGGCCTCCTCGATGGTGTAGCGCGACCCGCTGAAGAAGAGCCGGTTTGTCACGATCGCGCCCACCGCTCCGCCGCTCGCCGTCATCCCAGACACCACGCCCAGCGACCTGCACCCATCCATACCCAAGGCGTAAGAAACATTTCAGCTGCAGGTACCAAAAACATACTGATCTGTGCACAATTTGAAATTTCCTGACAAAAGTTGCATTGGTTCACACGTTATCTTAGTTAAACAGCTTTATTAAAAAAAAAAACGGACTGTAGTCTCGCCGTGGCTGCTTGGCCATGGATTTTGACCAGCCACCTGTAAGTTCACTACACGTACACTCTACTTTCTCTGACTATAACTAATCTTCTGTAACAAGGTGCCTCCGCTATTTCTTTTTCTTTTTTGATTCTAATAAAACTCGTGATATGAACAAGGTTTAATTTATATAAATTAGTTCTGGCCAAATGGGAACAGAGACATTATTTTGAGGGAACCATGCATGCTATTCTTATTCATTAGATAGTTTTTTTTAAAAAAAACAAGTTGCTTGAGGCCGTGCCTTTATAAATATAAAATACAAATAATACAAGAATTAATGGAATAGAAGAGTAATTTGTAACGACAAGTTTGTTTTCCACTATATATTGTGTTATCGTAGTTTTCCTGTGTTTCTTTTTCTTAGAACTCAGAAAATATGTACGTCACATTTCACACATATGTATGCTGCTTGGTTGCTATACCTCTGTTCAAAGAAATAATAATAATGGGGCTAAAAGCATCATTGTTTGAAACCTCTCTGATTATTTTCGTCCAAAGATATTAGAAAATACATCAACATCAACTAAAGTATACCTAAGGATTCTACTCTAGATTCTATTATGATCCAATACAAGGATGTGGCCGTCCTTGTTGGGTAGTAATTAGGTGTTTGTGTGCTTTAAAAAAAATCTTGAAAAAGCTAGCTGGTGTGGCCATCTTTCAATTGAGAGGTAGGAGTATATATCAACTTCAACGTCATGGCTCTTATTATTCACGTTGTCTATATGTGAATATACTTCACGTTGAGTATAATTCAAGATTCTACTGTGCAGCAAAGAAACGTATTGGATTAGGCAATGGTCTAAAGGAGCGATGTCATTTTTTGGAGACCATGGTGTTGGATTTTTTCAACAAGTTTGGATGGAGAAATAGGAATCGGATAGAAGCTTAAAGCTTTTCATCGAGTAGTTTGTTTGAACGTTTGTAGCACCGTTTGGTGAGAGTGGTCTAAGTGATGTGTCTGTGTGTTTGTTGAACGGCTATACTCATTCACTTGTGAATGCTGGAGGGGATATTGCATATTCCTTAATCTAAAAATCTATATCTAAATAATAAGACACAAAATCATCTTTATAGGTACGGAGTAATTGTTTTATGAAGCTAGCAAGCATGATAGATGTTCTTCCTCGTAACTTTTTGGGAGAAAAAAAATCTATATATGAATATATAGTTCTTGATCTATCTATATCTAAATAATCAGACCCAAAAAAAACTTTAGGTAATTGATTTATGAAACATGCATGATAGATGTTCTTCCTTGTAACTTCTAGGGAGAAAAAAAAATCTATATGTGAATATATCACTCAAGATCCATCTATATCTAAATAATGAGACACGAAAGAATCTTTAGGTAATTTGATTGATGAAACATGCATGATAGATGTTCTAAGAAGAAGCTAGCTCGATTCACCTCTTGGAGACGAAGGGGACGATGCCGAAAGTGAGCCCCGACGCGGCCTGCACGAACGCGGCTCACGCCACCATCACGGCCATGGTGGCCGCCAGCGACGGCGCCTCCGCTGCGCCCATCCTGCCGACCAGCACGCACAGTGCCGCGCCGGCGGTCTGCACGGCCCAGAGAAGCCACAGCCTCCCGCGCATCCCGAACAGCCTCGCGACCGCGTCCGACGCTACCCCGCCCGCGGGCCGCGCCACCGCGTTCATCGCGCCAAAGCACGCCGCGGCGGCACCCGCAGCCTCCATGGGGAGGTGGAAACGCTTCCGGAAGAACTCGGCCGCCACGTTCTCCATGATGAGCTCGACGCCGTAGCAGTAGCCGTAGGTGATCGCGAGCACCCACGCGCGGTAGTTGCCCACCCCTCCGCGTACCACCTTCCAGAAGCTCTTGCCGGTCTTGGCTCCGCCGCCGACGCCAGCGCCGCGTGGGAGGTCGTCGTAGGGGAAGGCGAGGACGGCGAGGCCCGTGGTGATGAGCAGCGCGCAGGGGAGGAGGTAGGTGACGCGCCAGGCGACGGTGATGGGCACGCCGAGGCGGAGGACGTGCTCGTAGGCGAGCGGCATGACGAGCTGCGCCGCGGCGCTGCCGACGTTGGCCCAGCCGGCCGCGACGGCGTTGGCGAGCCCGATGGCGGAGGGCGCGAAGATGCCCGACATCCAGTGCTGGTTGGCGACGAAGTTGGCGAGGGAGAGGCCCGCCGCGAAGCGCAGCGCGACGAAGCCCGCGGGCGACGACGCGGTGACCGCGACGGCGAGCGCGGCCAGGAGGCTGGCGAACCCGGACGCGCGGCGCGGGCCGAGGAGGTCGCAGGTGGGGCCCATGGCGAGCCTACCGACCAGCGTGGCGGAGAGGGAGCCCACGGCGGCGGCGGAGTCGGAGGGCGCGAGCACGAGCGCGGGCCGCAGAGCCAGGAGGATGGGTGGCGCCGCGAAGGCCGCGAAGAAGCAGGCGAAGAGGGAGAGCCAGGCCAGGTGGAACGCCTGCGTGTGCGGCGACGACAGCGCCAGAGGGCGAAGATCCGTCGCCCTGCCCTCGGCGTCGACGCCGCCCGCTGACTCAGCGCCGCCGACGCCGTAGCAGTTCTCTTCGTCATCGGCCAGCTGCTGCTTCTTCCCCATGGTCACCATAGCTAGCTAGCTAGTGACGTCTGCCTGGCCTCGTGGCCGTGCCGGAAGAGATCTACCACAGCCAAGCAGAGAACGGCGCTAGTGGCTACTAGTTCCAGGTCTGTGGGCGACCAATGGGGTGAGAGGTTTAGATACACGCGGGTGGCTTTAAGTGCTTGTGGTGGGCGTGGAATCGAAGGTGGTGTGGTGGATCGGAGGCGGAGGCAAGCGATAGAGCGGTTGCATGGGCGAGTGGCTTTTGTACGTGCCGACCACTGGCTCCCCGAGGCCATGAAAAGGGACTGCCCGCCATCACCTCATCGCATTAGCATCTAATTAGTAGTAATTAACCATCGATGTGATTGATTAATTGCAAAAAATCTTAAAACTATTGGTTATTGCTTTTTCGTCGCAGCACCGTACGTCCAAGCTAAGGTGCGTACTACGTGGATCAAGAGACCAAGCGACGACTGTCATCCGGCCGGTCATTAGCTTTCTTTCTTACTTTCTTTCTTTCTTTTTGTTTGAAACACGAGGTTCCACAAACAGCATACACATTGTTGAAAGTGAAAGTGTCAATGGATGAAATGACTGTGTATATTGATCGATGATCAGTATACAGATATTTATACAAGCCCAATGCACAGTTGCCTGTTAGCCAAAATGTGTATCTACGGGATCTAAAGGTGTTTCTATAGTAAACCGTCATTAGCAGTTGCTAATGACGGGATTAGCTAATTTATCACAATTTATTTAATCTTAACACTCCCCCTTGATCAATTGGTTCCCGTAGACGTTCATCTTGAAGCTTTGGAAAAGCCATGTGGAAAAAAACCAAAGTATACCGATATACCAGACAAAACTTCTTAAAACCCAGTAAGAAAAATAAGGAGAAACACCATGATATATATAACTCCAATGTTAATAGACCCTTTAGGTGTCCCCAAAGACATAGTCTAAAAACAATTTGATCAAATATCAATATGTCATAAATATTATCTTCGAAAAAACTCAATGAGAAAAAATAGATAATATGACATTTACTATGTGTTAACATTACCTTATTAAAAACTTTATGTGAGAAAACTCCAGAAGAGTAAAACTCATATAAAGGAAAATAGTGTAATACGATGTTTGAAACAGGTTATACTTTAGAGGGATTCTCCCCCTGATTCATGCAAGTCTCCAAGTCTTCTCATACTAATGCCCTCAACACATTTACGGAATGCAGAGTATGGTAGAGATTTTGTGAATAAATCTGCTAGATTATCACATAACTTAGTCTGCAAGATTTCAATTTCTCCATTCTTTTGGAGCTCATGGGGATAGAATAACTTGGGAATAATATGCTTAATCATATTACTCTTAATATAACCTGATTCTATTTGTGTAACACATGCCAAATTATCCTCAAGTGCACCAATACCACATGATTGTATAATGTGGTTTATCATTCTACGAATCCATATGCATTCGCGTGATGCTTCATATAAAGTAATTATTTCAGAATGATTGGTGGAAGTAGACACCAAAGTCTGCTTTGATGATTTCCAAGATATTGTTGTTCCACCATGCAAGAATACAAAGCCTGTTTGTGATCTGCCACTGTGGGGATCTGATAAATAACCAACATCTGTATATCCTAATAAGATTGGATCTTGATTTCTATTATAGAATAATCCAAGATCTCTAGTACCATTGAGATATCTTAAAATGGTTTTAACTCCTGCCCAATGACATTTTGTAGGTTTAGCACTATGTCTTGCCAGCAAGTTTACTGCAAATGCACACTAGTAGAAATATCCACTTCTATGATGAAAATCTTAATGATGAATCCAAAACTATCATAGATTGCTTTTTATGACGAATATTTCTGTTTCATCATAGATCAGTGGTGACGATCTTGTAACCCTCCCTTTCTATGACGAAATTAGGCATCGTCACAAAAACATCATAGAAGAGCGTAGGGTTCCATCACAGCCCGTGCGACTCATCTATGATGATTCCTTTAATACTGTGACGAATAGGGCTTTGTCATTAAACTAATTACACATCTGTGACAAATAATATTTGATCTATAATGAATGACTTCATCATAGATCTCCACATGGTACTTTCTCTATCCGATGTGTACCTGTGGGACCTATAGTTACTCATTTGTGATGCTTGTAATTCATCATAAAAGTCTCCGCTCGATCCTATCTCCATGCGACATGTACCTGTGGGACCCTTCAATATCCGACGTGTACCTGTGGGACCTGCAATTACTCATTTGTGACACTTGCAATTTGTCATAAAAGTCTCTGCTCGATCCTATCTCCATGCGACATGTACCTGCTGGACCCTTCAGCATCCGACCTATGGGATCCAACGGTTTATGTGTCACATGTACCTATGGGACCGTTCTTCATCTCCATCCGACATGTGGGACCCGACGGCTTGCGTGTCACGTGTACCTGTGGGACCATCCGACCAGTTGGACCCGACGGCTCATGTATCACATGTACCTATGGGATCTTTCTCTATCTCCATCCGACCTGTGGGACTCAATGGCTTGCGTGTCACTTGTACCTTTTGTGCCACCAGGGTCTAATAAATTCAAAAAAACCTCAATGCCTGGGAGTCGAACTCGAGACCTGGAGGAAGGAATGCACGGTTGTTACCATTGCGCTAGATGCCTGGTTGTATTGACATGTCTTTGGAGTCGATATAGTATTATATTCTCTATTTGGATGCCCTACAGGTTGACCTATATTGGATATTTCCCCTTCAAGTGGAAACAAATCTGTGCCCGATAGACTAGCAGTGGTGACGATGGCGGGGGCGGCAGACGATCCCTGGTGTGCTGTGGTGGCTCCGGCGTCCATTTGGAGGCTAGGCGGTGGGACTTGCCGGTGGAGCGCGGCGGCATTGGTGTTCGTGTCCGTTGTGTGCTATGGCAGAGGCGACAGATCCGATCTGCAGGTCTCCTTTCTCGCCTTTTGCTGTTTGCTTCACTATTTTGTTCCTTGCTTGAACATGAGGTATATAAGAAACATTCTAGCGTTGGAGATCTGATTAGGCCAATGATATGATGATGAAAAGAACTAGGAGGTGGCACTGGTTGGTTTTCTGCTGATGTCTTAGTTTTCTGCATATGTTCAATTTTGTTACTGTAAATGTCTCCTATGGAAGAAGCTCTGAGCTCGTGTACTGATTGTAAGTGTGATGGATAGACTTGATTTAGCTAGAATTGTAATGGTTACATCTTCATTAACTGCTACTCTAGTTTGAGTTATATATATCTATGTGGTGCTACTCTAAATTTGTTTGAGGTCGTACCATGAAAATTGTTAATGGTTGTTAAAGTTGCACTTTGGTATGAGTTGTGGACTTCACTGTTGGATCTTTGTTGGATTATTTTCCTCTTCAGTGATCTTATTACTAAGCAAGCTCTCATCCTACTACACACAGACGAAATGGAGGAGACCTAAAACAAGAGGAATGCACTGGCCAGCCTCGCGGATGATGTCATTATCGAAATCCTCTGCCGCCTCCCTGCCTGCTCCTTGTTCTGCTGCAAATGTGTCTCGCTCCTTGAACCGCCTCAAGGACTACAATAACCATAAGGTGCTACCCCAGAATGTGATAGGCTTCTTCTACGACATCGACCAAGGCTATCGATGCTACACCAGAGTCACCAGTGAACACCCCTCCTTGTCTTTCTTGCCCTTCACCTTGGCCAATATAGCTGTCTTAGATATCTGCAATGGCCTCATCCTATGCTGGTGCCGAGGGGTTGATGGATCATACTACTATGTCATCTACAATTTGGCAACCAAGGAGTTCAAGGAAGTGCCACCTAGCATCCATTCTGTTGGTGAGGCTCGATTAGGGTTCGATCAGAAAGCCTCCTCGCACTTCCATGTGATTGAATATGTAGAAGATGAGCAGTTTGATCGGTGTAGGGGTGTGGACATCTACTCATCTAAAACTACATCATGGATCTATAAGGAATCTAAATGGGGTAGGAATACTTCTGTGACAATTGAGAAATTAGATAGAAGATCATCAAAAACTGTGTATCTTAATGGTTGTCTATACATTATGGGGTACTCATGGGGCTGTCAGATACTTGCTGTGGATATGGAGGGAGAGACATGGAGGAAAATTCCTTGCCCATGTGGTTCTGCTGGTTCCATCCATCAAGCTCAGGGTCACTTGCGTGTATGTACTATTTGTGGTCATGATATGCCCAAGCTTAACATCTAGATCCTTGAAGACTATGGTACTAATAAAAGGACATTGAAGCATACTGTCAGCACTATGGACTTTACTATCTCCCCTATGTTCCCTTGTTCTCGAAGTTGGAGTCATTAGCAGAGGAGTAAATAAAGTTCCATGATGTATCTCTCTGTCATGACATGTTTAAATGGATCCATGTTGTTTGATTATATTGTGTATGGACATGTTAATTTCCTCTTGGATGGATGTTGTCATTATTTTGCAGCAACTTTAACTTGTTTGTAATGTAAGCTAAGGTCGGTGTAGTGTGTTAGGCGCGTTAAAATCTACAGAGGTTGGACTTTCTTTTGTGTGCATTAACATTTCAACACCAATGGGTCCTCTTTGTTCCCAAAAAATAAAAACACCAATGGCTCCACTGTAGTAGTGATATATTAACCGCCGCGATCTCTTTCACAACTCCGCTTGTTTTCCTTCCTTCCCCAAGCCCTCCCATTCCCACTGTAAATCTAAAATCACCAGGAACGTGCGGTTGCCTTCTCCAAACCTACTTCAATCTTAGCCACCACCATGGTGAAGGGCAAGCCTTTTGCGAAGCGTGCAAGGGAGGGGGATGACGCGCGTGCCCGTGGTGAAGGAGGATGATGCTGTGCCCATGGTGAAGGAGGATGATGCCGTGCCCATGGTGAATCAAGATGATGCTCCGGTGGATCCCTTTGAAGATAGAGATGATTGGGCCGTTGGCATCATGAGTAAGGCTTTCTTGAAGATCAGGCATGTGCTACAGAACACCGGTG